AAATAAATGCAGCAAACTTTAATATTATTCATACAAAGCATGTGTAAAACGTGTTGATTGTAAACCTGTCCTCATCTTGTTGGTCATGTTTCTAAAAACCTTCATGTGATCTGATTTAAACGGACACTTCAGCTAACTGCTTACAGTGACAACACATGGCTGCTGCCCCTGTGAATAAGACCCAGTCTGATCTAATCTAATCTAAAGATGATTAAATAAAGTCTGATGAGACACACATGATGTTTGCTGCCATCACAACAAGCTTAGAGTCCAGATTGTTACTAAACTTTAATTATAAATTGTTAGGAGAATGACAAAGAAAAGGAAAGGTAACAAAACTAAAATAAATATACCGTCCAAGAAAATGTAAAATGAGTTGCATGTGTAAAACAAAAAAGACACATGCCAGTAATTAAGAGTCAATAAAACACAAATAGCTGGTAAAATGCAGTGTTCAGGTGATTTTCATCATGTTTGAGTGAAACAGTGAAGATACAATCAAAGAATTAATCTACATCTGCTTGAAATCTGGGTATCAATGTCATCAATTAAAAATAATAACAACTTCAATGTGCACAAAATGTAAAGAAATTAATACAGCGTATTTCAAAGAATAGTAGTCACATCACAATATAAAAATGATTCAAAATTGATAAAAACAAGCAAAGCTGATTATGTGATTTAAATGCAGCTAACTCAGATTTTTTTTTAAGATAACTACTCTGCCAAGCAGCTGTTTCATTAAATAAAATCAGCTAACTAGCAATATTGTTTTATTGAAGAGTATATTTGACTTCTAAAAACAAGCAGTAATGCAGCAAAGCTACTAGCTAGTATTTCTTTTACTTTTAGCTTCTTAGTTTCTATTAATTTACCATGGACATTAATTGTCTGTTCATGTGGTGATGCAAATGTTAACAATTCTAAATTTTGGTATTATCTAATGATAAAAAAAAAGTACAAAAAAAGAGAAAAGAAACACATAGTGTCACTATAGCAAGGGCAAGCTCAATGCTTTTTGCTTTTAAATATCAATTAAACATAACATTATTGTTTAGTTTAAATATTTTTATAAGTCCATGTTTGTTCAACGAAGCAGCTCACCATATTAAAAAAAACAAACCAAAACAAAAAAACAAAAAAACAAATCTGCCTTTATGATCTTTCATGTATGGCACAAAAATCCAGTTCTACTTCATATTAGCAGTGAGTGAAAATTGGAGAACACCACAAACTGAAACAGAAAGTTTATCAGGAGAAAACAAAGAAAAACAACACAAGTGAAACTTGCCAGGGTACTTGTCTTCAGAGGCTTGATATCAAAGGCTGCTTAGCATTTTGATTTATTAATGATGGGATTAGTCAGATTTCTCTCATCAAATGTCCAAAAACACAAACAGAGTTAAATATGCACAAACACCTTCTTCTTTCTCTTTTATCTTGCCAATCAATCAGACGTCATTAGGAAATGTACATCTGACATCCTGTCAGTCAGAACAGTTAAAGTGTTTTTCTGTTGACTACTAATCCTACATTTACATATGAACTCGATCAAAACAGGTCAACAGAAAAAGTTTCATAAAACTTTTTCTTTGTTGCTGTGAACAACAATGTTAATTTAAATTCTTTCATCTATAAATGTTAAACAAAGATGGCAAACAAAAAAAAGAAAAAAGGAAAACACAAATTCTGCAAAATCTGTCAAATACCCAAAAAGTTGAAAACAAAGTTTTTCTTTTTGAGAAAAAAAGGCACCATTGACTAACAAAGCTAAACTGTAAATCTTGTTTTTAAAGATTTTTCTCTAGATTTGAATATTTCCTATCGAACCTTAGAAACAAATAAACAAACGATGATAGCAATACAAGAATAAATGTGTATAGAATTCGCTAACATTGAGACTGTGCTTTTTAGGGTAACCAATGATACTGAATTGATACTACTGGTGTTCTGTTATTGTGCTACTTGACTGAAGTACAGCCTTTGGTACAATAGACCATAAAATCTCGATGAAGATGCTACAGTACTGGTTTTCTATATCTGGGATGGCTTACCAGTTAGAATGTTTTGCTTCTATTAGTGATGTCTTTTTTTGATATATGTGGCCGCATTTTATAGAAAAATAACATTTCATGCCATTGCTATGCTGATGACACATGGCTCTATTTCACAATCCACACATTCAACAAACCTCTCCAACCTTGCAAACTGTCTACTGATATTAATGAATGGATGTGTGTTATTTCTTTAAAATTAAACTCATATAAAACACAAGTTCTGTGCAGTAGTTCAGAAATGCATCAAGCCTCTGTTGAACCTGTTTGCTCATTTAAAATATGCTTGTAAAATCTTGAGGGCACAATCAACACACAGGTGAGGGTACATGTTTTCATTCATTCATTTACAGCAGGGGTGAGCAACTCCAAGCCCTAAGTGCTGGTGTACTGTTTTAGGTTTTAGATATGACCCTGGGTCAACACAGCTAAATCAAATGATTAGGTCATTACCAGGCCTCTGGAGAACTTCAAGACATGTTGAGGAGGTAATTTAGCCATTTAAATCAGCTGTGTTGGATCAAGGACACATCTAAAACCTGCAGGACACCAGCCCTTGCAGCCTAGCCCCAGATTATATACTCAAACTGCGGTTCCCATACCAAGCAGTGAACAGCCTCAGACTCTCGGGCAGAACCTCAGCCACCTGTTAACTGTCCCGTGTTCAGGCTCAAAGATAAAAGGTGATTAGTGTTTACTATCAGAGCTCCTGGAATGTGAAATTAAACTGCAAGCCCACCTCATTAGTGCCTTCCTTTAAATGATCGGTAAAGACTCATTTGTATCAGGGCTTTTTCATAAATGTCATTATAAATGCATTTCTTTGCATTCCACCAATCCACTAATAGAAATAATGAGAACAACATATATCCTCTTTAACATTACTCACTGTTTTAACTTTTCTTCTCAAAGACTTTTCTCATGGTCTGGGGTGAAACACTTTAATATAAGCTGCAAATAACTGAAGGATAAGCTTGTGTTTCTTCCAAGAGCGTGTGTTAACTTATCACTGGCTAACTTCATTATGTTGTATGAAAATAGTCCCACTAAGGATGCTACTGTTAGTGTTTATTGGATTTGTTGAGCCTGAAGAGTCATCAGACCATTTCTTTATTTATCATTGTACTTAGTGAAAAATCAAGTCGTCCTTTTTTTTAATTATAATCTTTTTATTTATATATATATATATATATATATATAATTATTATTAAGTATGTTTGAACAATCCATAACACGATTTAACAGAGGACAGCGGTGTTTCTGGATTTTTGCAGATTGGTGAATCTTTGTCCAACTTTACAGACTTATCACCTAATTAGCTGCGAAATGTTTTATCTTTGTTTTCAACCACTTAGTTTTCCAAACAGCAACACAAGTTTTTTGAGACGTGCTGATGCCATCAGCTAAACATTTCCATGAAATTGTAAAATGTCTTATTTTAAACATTTTATATGTTTTCTGTGTTGTGTGGATTTAAGAAATTTGGAAATCATTGTTGTTATTTACATTTTATCCATCATGCCAGCAGCTTCCGAATAGGATTTGTTTGTAGATGTAAGTTGTTTGTAGATGTAAGTTGTTGCTTACCTCCTCCTGTGAGCTCAGTGTTTAATAATGGAAGGAAATGAATGAATGCATCAGTAAATATATTTTTTAAATCTCTCTGGATGTAAATATATTTAGTCAAATTAAAGCACAGAAAAGCTGGGGGGAAGAGTAACAAGAAAGATGAATTATTAATGATGGATACAAGTTGTTAATATTAATTCTTTTCTACTTTTTTTTTTAACTGTTAAATGATAAAGGGGATATCAGGACATTCAGTGATGAACTGATAATTTGTTTTCAGCTTGACTCCACTCAATTTTTTGAATTTTTGGTTTGGTGGTACCTGCTCAGTCGGGGTCGGTGTGGTGTCAACAGACTGCATGCAAATAATTGGCCAGCGAGTAATGACTCCATGGTCCATCTATGAGGTTCAGATGATTACCATCAGTTTAGCAGCAGGTATACCATCACTGAGATGTCCTCTTGTTCTTCAGTTGCGTCGCATAAAAATGATGTCACAGGACTTTTGGCCTGCGTTGCTTCAATGATCCAACCCACATTGATGTGGCACTCAAACGAAATTGAAAATGACTGAAACTAAGTCAAGTTGAGTCGAGTAGGTGGCAACAGAAAAGCAGCAATAGCGTGAGAGCCAGGGTACACCCTGGACAGGCCTCAAATCTGTTGGAGTGCTAAAACAAAAATTAATTTAAAATTATTTTCTAAGAAAATAAAAAACAAAAACAACCAAAATCTGCCCACAATAAAAACATAAAAACCCACATGTTCTAGTATTTTTTTTAAATTAATTATGCTTTTAAATTTTCAAATTGTTACAGTGCTGTGACAAGTTGTGAGGTGTCAGTGAGGTAGGGGATGAGGGGAAGATCATCAGTCAGAGGTAAATACAGTTAAATCAGGTCCATCCAGTAGCCCCCCTCTCTCAGCTGTTGGCTTGTTTGTGTATCAGAGGACTAAGAACGTTTCAGAGGTCGAGTTCTATCCAGTTAGAGTCAGAATACAGAAACACGCTGTGTCTCTCAGTGCAGGTTGGCCTGGAGCTTTATTAATAAAGCTTCATTCAAAATTCATGAGGAGTTTCATGGGACTCGTTAGTCTGCTGCTAACAGATGCTAATGAATGCTAACAGAAGACTGCAGGGACGGTTTATATTTACATTGGCAAGAAATCAGATTTACATAAGATCTTAACAGCCGATCTGACTGAAAGTTTGACATACACATCTTTATTTAAACCAGAAAGACTCTCCAAACTGAACTGCAAACATTTAATGGCACTGTAATAATATCACTTCAAAGTCCAGTTTGTGTCTTCAGAGAGACATCTGGGTTTGTTCTCCACTCCACAGATCTTGACGCACTGCTTATGAGATTTCAGTCACCAGAATTTAGCAGAGGGCAGCAGGGAGGGTTTGACCTTGCGCCCAGGGTTATAGATGTCTCTCACCTCCGTTTCCAGACGAATGCCAGGAACCTTAAAGATGGACACAGCTGACAAAGAAAGAAAGAGAAAAAAAATGAATTTAAGCCTTAAACAGCTTTTTGTTAAAAAAGGATTTATGATCATACATCTATAATGTATCTATGTTGGAAATTCAAGTACCGTAAGTGCTGCTAGGTGAGTGCTGAATTAACAGAAAATATGTTCTTTAAAGTTTAGCTGCAATATGGTAACATTTAAGTGAGTTCTTACTGTCTCTGAGGTGCATGATGGGAGGAGGCAGTGTGTTGAAGTACAGGTGCTGCATGGCGTCCGGAGCCGAGATCCTGTCTGTAGGGACCACCTTTAGCATCTCCTGGGCCAGGTCCTCGGTCTTATATGGCAGCTGCTCCAACCTGATCCAGATCAACACAGGCAGATGGAGGACTACAGAGTCAAGTGATCTAACCTGGTCTACATGTGGACTGTTGGACTGTCTACAGTTAGCACAGATGAAGGACTGTCATGTGACTAATGTTTGCATTTCAAAGTGTGTTAGCAGGTTAGCATGTGTGTGCCCATATAAAAGTTACCTTTTCCAAACGGTCCTAAGCTGCTTTGGTTCTGAGTAAAGAAACCGCTCTATGGAAGAAAAAAAACCACTCAATTAGCAAATGTTAACATGGATCTAAAAATGTTCCCATGATTTGCACTTCAGCTGGTTTTTAGCCTACATTTATTATTTTTGAGGGAATGAAACAACTTCAGTCTGTCATTGATGCTCTAATATATGTCAGCAGATCACTGAAACCTCTCAGGCAGCTTTTTAAACTGTCTTCTTTTCAGGTTTCTGAAGGATTTGTGGAAGTTTGTTCTGGGATGACATGAGAACTAAATGGTGTCAGACTGAATCTAAAAGTGTGTGTTATCACTGTGAACAGCTCAGGTCTCATCACTCTAAAGGTGGTGTGTGAATTCTTGGGGGAACCTGATCTTTAATGTTACAGCTCTGTGTGGGTTGGCCTGAAGTTACAGTTTACTGTAAAAGATGACTTTATCCAGTGATTCATGAGCAGCTCAACCACTGATCTCACTCTGTGGTTAATTTCTTCTCGTCTTTGTTCTCTCTTCTCACACCCACATGATGTATCAGAGACCCTGTCAGACTTGCAGAGCAGAGTTCGCCTCAAAGTCTGAGAAATCATCTCATTTTAATCCGAGTAAAACTATTAAAACAGGAAATGTGGACACATGTTGCCTCCCGATGGAAACTTTGAGTCACTGCACACAAGTAATGACCCTTAATGAACCCCAGGCATCACAGAACAACTGTGAATGTTTACAAGACAAATTCATGCCACCTCCACAAAAACATCATTGATTTAATCAGCCTGTTTATATAAGACTAAAAAAATTGTATTTAAATTTTAAAACCGGTCAGAGCGGGCACGCTCCGTTTTGTGTAACTATTTTTAAATCCCGGTAGCACTGCAACCACGTGAGCTAGCGCAATAATCTTTTTTGCATATGAAACCGGAGGAGTTGTACTTACATCTTATGCCATCAGCTTGTCCTCGGTCACGGTTTCCTTCCACATAAAGCTTTGCAAAAACTGCATAAAAAGCACTTGCAGCAACAAAAACATAATATTCCAGAAACACGCTTAGCCGATCTGATCAGCTGTTTGTAACACTTCCTATGTCCATCAGCGCGAACTATCGCATGTCCGCCATGACCTGCCCGAAACCGGAAGTGATGTCATTTTCGCGGAAATGTAGTTTTTTACCATCAGATAAGATAAGATAAGATAAGATAGAACTTTATTAATCCCTCGGGTGGGTTCCTCTGGGAAATTCGATTTCCAAAAAAGCACAGCACCGACAGAAGTTACAGAGTTACAGAATATTATA